TTGGTTTTCACTAAGTACCAAATGAATTTCAGCAAATAAGTAATAACTTGTAGGTTCTGGAATGCAATTTTCCAAGTTCTTGGTACTAAATTATTAATTTCAGACAAAATACTAATGGACTTTTTTCCCCTCCTTTCTGCTAGTACAATAAAACATACGATGGCCCCTACGATGTCTTCACTGGGAAAGATGACATTTCAAAAGTGGGAAAGATCGACATGTGGAAAGAAAGCAAGTCAGTCAATTTCATTTAAGGTCACCATCTCCTGTCCACACTGACATTTTTATACATTTTTATTTAACAAAACTTTAAATGAAATGTCCAGTGTAAAATTGCTGAAAAGTGTGCAAGCCTCATTGGTGGTATTCCTGCAGCCTTTCGTTGTTGTCCTACACGGTTGAATGAAAAGGTAAAACTGCCTCGTCAGCATCCACAGAGCTCTGCTAATGAGCCAATATTGGAGCCAGGTGTGCTGAAGCAAAGATGCAAATAAAAGGTGCATTGCATGGGTTTGAGACCACTGCATTAAATTCTGCTTAGGACATCTAATAATAGCTGCATTTATATTACTGATATGCGCAAAACTTTGTCGATATTCTGCTAATTTGGAAAAATCAATAACGCAGTTGCGGTGTTTTAAATATGAACCGTAAGTAAAATCAAACGTGAATAAGTTTGTTCACACAATAAATAACTACTTACGGTTGTCTTCTTCGTGGTTTGCATCAATGTCGACATCCGGTTGTTGATCATGTGACTTGTGGGAAGCGGAAAAGGTGTTTACACTGCCAAACATTACCAAAAGAAACAACACTTTGTAGCATTTAAAAAAAAAATAAATAAATTGTTTATATATATATATATATATATATATATATATATATATATATATATATATATATATATATATATATATATATATATATAGTCTTTTCTGTCATTTTTTGTTTCCATTGAGCAAATATATTTTCTAAATGTTCAACTATGCAATCCTATGGTCAATGGAGACGACTACAGACATCCAGATCAGGTTATTTTAAGTTTGAGTTGGTCGCAGCCCTTTTTATTTTATTTTTAAAGTTTTCTGATTTTCGACACAAACAACACCTACATTGTCAACAAATTTAGGGGTATATTATAAAAATAATTCACATAAGCTTATATTATAAAAATAATTAAAAATGTACAATTTATCTTTTTGTTTTGTGCCATAGGAGCTTGGGTTTCTGGAACGATGAGTACTGTGACAAGCTGAATGGGACAGGTATGTTACTTCAGTCAAAACAAAAACTAGACTCCATGTTGCATCTCCATGACCAGATTTTCTTTCTGCTCTTTCTTAGATGCTTCCTCCTTCCCTCCCTTTCTGAACAAGAAGGATCCGCTCTTTTTCTTCTCCTCAGACATCTGCAGGTGATTAACGTTTCGCTGTATCTGGAGCCACTCATCCGATCTGTTATGTTGGCATTCAGGCTGAACTTTTACACGTTCCTCTCGCACTAATCAACTAGGTCAGAACTTTTCAGAGAAGCTGTGTTTGAAATGGTTGTGGAACCTGGAACAGTCCCTCTGGTTCTTGTGACTTCAGGTCTGTGTCAGCCAGCTATGAGAGGACGATGGACCTGAAAGGAATCGATGTGTACCGATACTCACTTCACCCATCAACTCTGGCCTCCCCTTTGGACAATCCAGACAACAAATGTTTCTGCTCAAACATGAAGACCACCAAAAATTGCACATTGGCCGGCGTGCTGGACATCAGTACCTGTCAGCAAGGTTAGTTTAGAAAATACCAAAAATGAGTCAATCCATCTTATTTCAATCTGACATTTAATATTTAGCTTTATGTTTCTGAACAGGGAGGCCTGTTTATATCTCGCTGCCTCACTTCCTGCATGGCAGTCCATCACTGCGGACGGATGTGCTTGGATTAAACCCCCACGAAGAGCACCACAAAACCTTTCTGGATGTTGAACCTGTATGAGGATCAACTTTTCTTGTTTTGTCTTTGGAAGATCAGTGGGTAATTTTAAGACGAGATTGTTTTTGTTTTCCCACCAGACCACTGGGTTTACTCTGAACTTTGCCAAGAGAATTCAAGTGAACATGATGTACGGACCATCAAAAGTCATCACGTGAGTTCTTCCTTTATTTTCTTCAACGATTTTGGAAAAGGATTTAACTTTGTGTTTAGTTTCTAGGAAGTTGGGGAAGCTTTTTTCTAATTCTCTTCTTTACAACACACCGAGTAGAGGCACTAGATGAGTCTGTGTACCAACCTTATCAGTATTGACATAATCACTCTAAAAACAATTTGCATTATGCTAGATTTGCATCAAAAATATCCTGTTAGGTCCCATTATTCTCAGAAATACAATACATAAACAAGGCTGCAGTCTGTAGGGCTCAGAGTATCAAGTTTATAAGGATAAAAGGAAATACTGAGGTATGTTTTGGCAAGAAAGGCAATCGTCCCTTCTGAAAACCTCCCAATGGGATTTTCAGGAGATAATGACACCACTTCAGCTGACTCCTTTGAAAACTGTGACTTTACCCCTCGCTTTATCTCTAAGGCTGACCTTGCCAGTCAAGAGAGAACGCTAATTTTAGCTGTTAGTATCTGATATCTGATTAAATTCCATGTCTTAACACAATAAATAGGTTTAGAGTTGTACTCAAACTTGTAAACCGAGGGTTTTGATATTTGGCCAAGGCCTTTGTTGCCATACTGGTCAATGCCAGCATTACAGTAGATGATGCTAAAGGACATTTAACCCTCTCCTGTTCATGCAAAGACTGACAGACATAGAGAGACTAACTTGTCAAGTGGATGCTGTTGATCAAGGCTTTCAAACTCCTGCATCATTGTTCCCTCTTTAATTTGAAGTCAGCTAGTCGGACATACTTCATGTGTTGCAGCTAAGGTCAACCTCGGCATGGGATAGTCCATGCTTGCTACTTTAGTTTGCCATGCTTTGTGTGAACTTCCTAAATGTGCAAGCCAGTCTTTTGATCCTTTGTAATTGGCAGCCAGCTCTTTAAGACGCATAGCCAAGCAAAAAATTTATGCTTATGCTGTCCTACTAAATAGAATCAACATTTCTAAGAAAAACTACCCCCTACTGAGGCCCAGTAATCTGTTTTGCCTGCAGTTTAGCAAGATGTTTCCAGTGGGTGTTAAAAGGGTAAAGTTACATTCATAATCAGTACTTGAAGGTGTGAATGGAACCTACATTAGCCAGGACTCTAAATATTCCGACATTCCCAGTTGACTCAGGCTGCTCGTTTAGGTTTTTCGTCCTCGTCTGGAAGTAACGATGGCCACTAAATCTAATCCATTGCAATGCAGTGACTGGTTTAAGGCTTGTTGCCTCTCATGTCTAATGAATCCAAGATTCAACAATACAAAATATCGCATAAGTAAACATCTTTCCAAAAATATTTTCCAAGAAAAGATTCCCACAAGAATCACAACAATTGTCCTCCTTGCAGTTTCAAGGTGTGCCTCTGCACCTCGTCCTTGTACGTTGCTGTGAGAGAACATTTATCTCTTTCTCTCTTCCTGCTGTTTGTTGGATCAGGTCACAGTGACACTGTGCCAGGACGGCTGCAATCTAACTCAGAGAGAGTGCAAAATTGCTTGCACTTCCCAAACAGGATGCATGTGTTTGCTTCATGAATCAGATGGGAAATGATGGGGAAAATGTGATGCTAAAAGCAGGAACGGGGTATTTAGAGTGAAGCAGGTTCAGAGGGTTTTACACGTTAGGAGATAAGAGTTGCTGCAGCAGCAAAATTGAGTGCAATGAACGTCTTGAGTTTCTTTTAAACAGCAAAAATGTTTACAGACGCTCTGAAAAATGCGTGCACTGAAATTATACTCTGGACAAGAATCGATGAGCTTTTTCTTTGCAGGGTGCTCAAGAAAGTAAAGGACTATACCATATTCCCTCTTGTTTGGCTAAATGAGGTACAGGAAATTTGCAGAACACACTTTAAAGTTTTTGGCTGTAACTTGACAAGACCTGAAGGTGATGTGAATCAGTAATCATCTTCACCTTTCTGTTTTCAGACGGCAACACTGGATGATGAAACAGCAGCGATGTTCAAGAAGGAGCTCATATCTCGTATCCAGATGTTGGAGATCATACAACAAGTGCTCCTGGGTGTCGGTATTGGCGTCTTCGTCCTGTGTCTTCTTGGTTACTTTATTGTGCGGAGGAGCCACAACAAAAAAGAGCTTGCGTAGTAAATCGCAGGTTCGTCAGTTTCTTGCACATATAACCACAGTGCATTCAAACCGCCAGGCGACATCAACCCTTTTTGATATAGACTTGTAATTTTTGCAGTCTCTGTCTTATTTATAAAGTCAGATCTCCTTTTATTTGAAAAAGGGAGGAATACTGTGATTTTTTTAACCGCTCAGGAGAGCTGAATTTCTTTGCCAATTCTTGTTTTGATTTCAAACACTGTAACATGAACTGAATCAGGGATTTCTTGAGGGAGAAACAGAAACCCCTCTCAGCTGTCAGGTAAACCCTTTATGTCTCCATGCAGAGAGGAATGGGTTTGTTTGACACCCTATGACTGAAAGGTAGACGGGCAAATGTGCATATAAAGTAGTGTGTTCATAATTAATTAAAGTCAGAAAAAGAGTTTTCATGACTTGTCTTGTGTTTCATTTAATGCAGTCGTGACTATAATCGGTAAGGGCTGATAAAGATCATGAGATCATTAAAGGGTTTTATTGATTTGAAATGCCCTTTAGTCAGTTGTTCGCCTGAAATTCAAATTATACACTAATAAAACGACAAGCTGCAGGCTGCATGTCTCGATGTGTGTATTTCAGTATTAGAGAAACGTCTTATTTTGATTGAGGCCAAACGGAAAAAAATTGAAAAAATAGACCAGAAAATACTTAAATTAATTATTAATTTTGCTTAAGTGATGGATGGAAAGTGTCTTTGTAATCTACATGTTAAGCTAATATAGGCTGAACTTCACTTGAACAGATTTATTCAGGCTACGACATTAATAAATACAAATACATAGAATTTATGACAATAAAATTACGCAGAGTTGAAATGAAAAGTCTGACATGTGAAGCGGAGACTGAAGGAGGGAACATGCATGCTGCTTTAAAATATTTTGAATTCGCAGATGCGGTCACAGCTGGTAAACAACACCAAAGTTATGTACAAAAAAAAACAATTTTGACCAAACGTGGCAAGAATATTAATTTAAAACATTAAAGAAGCATAAAACACTTTGTACAAAAACAATATTTTCTATCTACATCATCTATAGGTTGAAAAAAAACTATTCACAAATGCAAAATGTCTAACTCAGACTACCTCACTATGTCTGAAAAAAGGGATTTCCACTTTACTGAAGACGGCCTCAACTCCTCACCTCCAAGCCGTTCACTGAAACGTCAGTTTGTTTTTTTAAACTGAACCCAGACGCAGATCAACAGACCATCAGATCACAGCTGGAACGTTTCTGTTGGACAGAAATATGGAAGAAATTAAGAGACATGCAGCTTCATAACAGTTGTGGACCTCCTTTAAAGTTCCTGTGCAGCCAGGAGGCGCAAAACACAAAAAAATAGACCAAAAAATTTAGCAAAACAAATAATAAAAATGAAAAGAATTGATTTGTAACACAGATTATACTTTTGCTGTTTCTGGTGAGGCAGATTTCCTAATTGGTTTTTGTGTTTTGTTCCTTAAGGCCACTTTACATGACATTTTTATTTGTGTTGTATCCAAACATTTGAGGCGCTATCTCCTTATGAAGTGCAACAAACATTTATCTGGGTAAAACGCTGTTAATAAATGCATTTATTATTGCAAAATCATTATTTTGTACAAATATGTTGCGTTGGGCGATATGGATTTTAGGTTTTATCACAATATTTTGTGATTGTGATAAAAGTGACAATATCTATTTCTTCCTCTTTTTGTAGGTTATTTTAACAATAATTACAGACACTGCTCTTGAAAAATGTGATATTTGAAATTTTTGGGTATTAAATGAAAAACATCATCAACAGTTATTTGGAAATAAATTTAACTGAAGGTTTATTTTAACTTTAAACTTTACTTTTTAAAGTTACATTACACTCTCCAAAGTACCTTTTAAACCTTAAAGTGATCCACAGTGGAGCAGAGTTTAAATATAAAGGAATAGAAATGTTAGTGGGATGAAAACTAAACCGAACCTGAACTATTATTGTGTGGAGAAGAACCTGAAGCCTACAGTTCAGTACAGTGGAGGTTCTGTAATGCTGTGGGCTCGTTTCTCTTCCAGAAATCCTGGAAACAGAGTGAACGGGTTTTGATGCAGTAAACGAGGAGAAAAAGCCAAAGAGGGGCTGTAGATATTCTTGATGCACCTGTTATAATAACTATGTTTGTAGCATCAGGAACATATGATGAAAGCAAAGTGTGATCTCCTACTTGGATATTTCTCGTCCGAAAATGCATCCATGTCTCTTCTGAACCTTTTTCAATTACAATAGCAACAGATAAAGGTCCATTGAACGTATTAAATCAGCTGATTTGAGGTGAGTTATCCTCTGAGCGCAGAGTTCATCAGAGGAAGTCGTCCGTTTCCTATCGTGTTGTGACGATCAAAGCAAACCAAAAATTCGTGGTTGAAAAATCACAGCCATCTGGTCACGTTACCTCATGTGAGAAAACTGGATTTTGTGGGATTAAATCTCCCCGAACCAACCTTCTGGTTGTATTTTAACGTCCGCAGCGGGTCTGGAGGATCGGAGGGAGGTATGTGTGGCAGTTTCTGCTGCTTCTCGCTGCCATGCGTCACACCGCAGGGAGGTGATTGCGTCTGTTGCGGCTCTTCCTCCGGTCCAATAGGGGCCTCAGTTTGGCCAGGTCCCCCCTCAGGGGCCCGGGTGGCTGCTGCTCCTGCTGCTGCCTCTGCTGAAGCTTCTGGAAGTCCTTCCTCTCTTTGCAGTACTGCTGAACGGCCAGATTCTCGGCGGGGCTGAAGGCGGCCAGCAGGGCTTTGGGGTGCGCGGCGCGGGCCCAGGCCCAGGCCGCCTGCCGCTTGTCCGCCAGAACGCTCACCATGCCGTCGCTCAGCACATGTAGGCGGATCTTGGCGACGGTGCGTTTGAAGCCGTTCTCGGTGGTCAGGCAGTAGTAGAGGCCGCGGTCGGACTGCTGGACGGAGCGGATCAGGAGGCCGTGCTCAGTGGAGAGGACCCGATCGTTCAGCTTCACCTGCACAGAATCATGCAAAATTTACTTTTTGCCCAGTTTTGTACTTCCGTTTGAAATACCAAATACTACCAAGTGCTTCTAATCTGGTTTCTAGTGCAAATATATTATTACATTTGTGATAGAACAAAACTAAAGACTTAGAAACTTTTTAAAGTAAATAATTCCTTAATATTAGTGAATATTGACAGATTATTTCACTAATAACATGAGGAAATTGTCTTGTTATAAGTACATTTATCTGCCAAAGCAACAAGTTCTTTTTCACCATTATTAAGGAATTATTTACTTAAAACAAATGTCTATATCTTGCTGAAAAAATATTTTAAATTAAGTTTTGTCTCAATTCAAGTTTACTAAGATATTTAAAGTAGAAAGTAGACAACAAATACTTGGCGTGATTGTGAGTTTTGCAGTGCACATGATAAATTAAATTAGTAATTTAATGTTTTTCTCTCTTTCTGTCAAAACTGGTTGATAAAACTCTTCAGTCTGGTGTTTTGCTCTCAACTAGTTTCTATTTTGAAAAACAATTTTGCTTATTAATTCATTTTATTTGTTGTTTTCTTTATTTATTTTTGGATATTTAAAATATCTTCTAGTTCCGGTGTTAAAGGTTTACTAGAATTTAAAGTTTATTGATCTTCAAGAATTTGTTCTTTCATTATTATGGCATTATTACCAAGATATTACCCGAAAATGGTCTTAAAACAACAATATTATCAATTATTGCAGTAGCTTCTGGAACAATTTATTGTCCATCAAGTCCAGTCAAGCAATTGGAAAAAAACCCCCAAAACAAACACAGTTGTTCTGGCAATGCCTTCACCTTTTTTGGTGTCTGGAAAAAGAGCCTTTTCAAAAACCTCCTGATGGTTAAGTCACACTGCGCCGGCATGTCAGCTGTTATTACGCTATTTCATCAGCGGCTGGAAAAAGACAAGTGCTTTGTTGTTGACTCACCCTCCAGAAACCACATGTTGCATTCTTCTTGGTTGTGCAGGAGGCTCCATTACTGCTTTTCATAGATAAAATTGTGTATGATTGACTTTACATGAAGCTTGTATTTTTAGTTAAACACATTGTGATCCTTTTGGTTACTTATTGGTAATTTATTAGAAGTAAGTGACTTAAGAAGTGCTTCAGTATCACCTTTAAATTATTACACCCATCTAATAATCCTAATTCTTAATAATCCATTTTCTGTCACATATTCTGACAGTTCTCGGTTCATCACTACATAATTCCTTCGTGATGCTTATGCATATTTGTAGCACTACATTATCTTATTTTAGTTCTGTCTCCAAAAAAACTTAAACTTACTCTCCAACTAGGCTAATGAGGGTCTGACTTGCAAATAGATGCACAGAAATAAATGCCCAGATGGACACTTGGGCATCAAAGTGGGCTACCAGAAAGCAGAAATCCTTCATTCTAAAGGTCTGATCCATAAAAAGATGAGGAAAGAGGATTAATTAGAACACATGAAACAGAAAACCTGAGTGATACTTTATGCTTTTTGACAAAAGCCTGGAATATAAGTTGGTAAAAACCCAATACAGTTGAGTGTGAGTATTTCTTCTATAGAAAAAAACTTTCTATAGGAAAAACTCAGATTGTTATTACATAGAGACAGCATGGAAATAGAGATTATTTGAACATTCAAACAATTCCTACCAGATTTGCACCACAAATCTAAAACAAACCTCCAGAAAACTGCAAAACAGCTGAAACACTGACAAAAACATACATGTTTAGAGTTGATTTTTGAGTCAAAGAATGAAACATTACTATAAACATAATGATGTGTATTGGTGGCACGTGACAAAATGTGAAGTTAATTGGTTTTCTCAATTCTTGACTATGAGATGTCTTCTGTATCTTTAATGTTTATGATGTAAATTACTTTGAGCTGCCTTGTTGCTGAATTGTGCTTTACAAACAAACTTGATCGATCGACTGATTGATCTAAGGAGGGCCAAGTATGTAATAGATACTGTATCACTGAATGAAATTGTGATGTGGTGTCATTAGCTTTGATGGAATCTGAAGATCAGTCGGAGGATATTTAATCAAGCTCATCTTAAACAGCCATAAAGGCGAACCATAAAGCAGACCGTCGACTTCTTCAAAAATCAGGCTGACCTCTTTCCTCCTGTCGTTGTCCCTCTGAAAGATCCAGCGAATGGACGCCTGAGGAGACTTTGGAACGCACTCCAGGAAGGTGGTGTTGTTTTTCACGCCATACTGCACCATCTCTACAGCGTTCCTGTAGGCTGATAAGCACACACACACTCCGAGTCAGAAGAAGAAGAAAACTGGAGACTCAGAGTTGTTGACATGCAGCTCAGCTTAAACCCCATCCAGAATTTTGAGCACAAAGTAATCCCTTCAAAGTTTCAGACCAACTCGGTTTCCCATCATGCCGTTCTGTTTGCATTTAAACGCCTCAATCAGAAAGCTGGAGTGGTGACAGAGTTGAGACTAATTGGTGATAACACCCATATGGCTCATTCCCCAAACTCTTTATAGAAACACCAGGGAGCAGATACTCTGCAGCTGTTTATCAGGATGAATATATATTAGTGAGACATTTGTGCAGATTTTATTTTTAGAAAAAGCATAACGGGCAAAAAACTATGGAGGAAATATTTTCTTTTGAGTTCCCTTGCAATAAATTAGCAAGTGCAGGTTGGTCTATTTTGCATAAAGCAACAGTGACAATAAAATTTCCTCAATCAAAATGCATTTCTTTTATGAAACTCTATCAATCAGTGATTGATAACCAATTTATTAGTTACATGTTTGTGTTTGATTGGACTTTACATCAAAAGCATTACAAAATATATTCAAGGATTTTATTACACTTTGCCTTGATTATTGTGTAATAAAGTTTTTATTATGTTTCATTACGTTTTGAAGTCCAATTTTGTTACATCATTTCTTGTTATTTATTAGCTTATGACATGGTGGATTACCTCATACAAATATCTCAACAACAATCCAATTATTTTGGATTTTTTCTTTCGGTTTTTCTTTTATATCGCCAAAAGTTTTTGTGATGTTTACATTTTAGATTAAGAATGGAAAGCCCATGTTTGAACTGTTTTGCTCCAGCATTTTGCACAAGTTTGTCGTTTGGTTTAAACAAAAGAGAAACATGAAAAAATGAAAATGAATTTTACCAACAATACTTTAATATATTTAAAGTATTATACGTTATATTGTTCCAGGAAGACTCTCAGTATTCAAGATGCCGCATTAGAATCTTGAATCTCGGTCATTGTAGATAGAAAAAAACAATTGTAAATTTCCACCAAAAAAACTACAAATTTGAGTTTAATCTTCTAGAAGGTTTTGTAGAAAAAATGAAGAAATTTTCAAGCTTCAATAGTGGAAAATTGTTAGATTTTTTTGAACTTTCCATGTTTCTCTAGAAAATTTCTGAGATAAATCTGAAAATATCTGAGTTTTCTGGTGTATATTTACTCCTTTTGTTTCTATCTACAATGTGCCATTGTACATTTGCAAGATCACACAAAAGAAAAAAAAAATGCCATCGTGTCCCTTATGGGACTCCGTACAAAACACAATCAGATGAATAAAATCCCTCAAATTAGTAGGTTTATAAATGGCCGGGAAGACAAAAACAAAACTGTTTCTCTCTTCCAATTGATTTGAACGGACAGTGAGAAAAAATAACTTAGCTAATACTTGCTGAATTGTCCTTGTGTGGTTTAAATTAGCCAGAAAACCAGATTTATTTAAGTGTAAAAGTGACCTCATAGCAGCTGTTTTAATACCTTTTAAGTTGAATCCTCTACACTGAGTGAGTGGGTTTCCGTGCATTATATCTTGCCTCCTGCTTCTCCTTTAAAAGAAAAAAAAAAACAATTTAACACATAACTCAAAGTGAAAATACACAGTAATAAGTTAGGAGGTTTTGGTGCCAGAACGACATGAGGAAAATGTGACCATGTTGTTCCGCCGAGTGGCGCTCTGATGCGGAACAGCTTGGCAGAGGAAGCATGTTAACAGCTGACACATTTCAGAGCAGAAAAAACATGAAATACACACAGAAAGTTGAGCTTTTTGTTCCGGGACCGAACTATACTCGACCCGGGACCGGCTGAGCGGTCGGGGGACGAGCAGCTGGGCCTCACAGAGACCACAGCCGCGTTCGCTTAGAGGTCGCTCATTCCTGGCGCTCTGCGTTACGTCTGAGCAGGAAGAGAACGGAAACGAGGGATTTGTGACATCAAGTCATCACTGATGGATCATAAGGACAGCTTGTTCTATTCTTGAATAAATTATGCATCAGCTGCTGACCGCAATCTGGGCCGCTCATTCATTTCATATTTGTTGTAACACATTAATTACAACATTCTCAAGGTAGAAATGATAGAAAATCCCTTGCAAATTGATCCAGAATCCTGAATCTTTTGCACATTTTGTCACTTTGTAATCACAGACGTTTGGGAAATTTTAGGTTGCAAATTCAAGCAGAAAGATGTCTGTCTGTAGTTTGGCAGCATCATGCTGTGGGAATGTTTTTGAACTGTAATAACTAATTAAGTAACTTTTGAATACAGTTTCTCTGGATTCAGATACTTTTCACATTTTTATTCGTGAAACGTTTAAGTCCATTAAACATTTTCTTCACAATTATGCACTAATTGTGTATAGAGGAGAAAAGAAATACATTGAAGTTTGAGAATCTGGTGTGTAATAATGTAATTATGCTCCACCAATTTCTCAGTTTTCTTTTGTATTAACACTTTGCACAAAATGTGGAAAAAAAGCTTAAAGCAACTGAGGAGAGTCAGATTTCTAAACATTTCTAAACATTTCTTTGGGTCGGTCCAAATGGTTTTCCACTTGGATCCGCTTCCTTTGAGGATGTCTCCAACCGGCACTCACTGAGAGTGTCTGTAATCAGAACTGTGACGATGATGATGATGATAATAATAATAATAATGGAGGAACTGGGTTCCTGTCTAAGAAAGAAATTCATTGAAATTTCTTTCCAAAGAAATACATTGAAGTTTGAGAATCTGCTGTGTAATAATGTGATTATGCTCCACCAATTTCTCAGTTTTCTTTTGTATTAACACTTTGCACAAAATGTGGAAAAAAATTTTAAAGCAACTGAGGAGAGTCAGATTTCTAAACATTCTGACTTTTTTCCCCAATATTTTAACTTTTTTCTCAAAATGTTGACATGTTTCTCAATATTCTAGTTTCTTATCAGAATTTTACATTTTTTTTCCCTCAAAATTCTGACCTCTAAATATCCCGATCTGTTTTTTAAATTCATTTTTCTCTGAATTCTAACATTTTTCCTCAATATTCAAAATTTTTTTCTCAGAATTCTCATTTTTGATATCGGAAGATTGAACTCTTCCATTTGCATTTACAAAAGAAATCCATTTTGTTTTTTGTGGAATAAATCTAACCCTGATTAATAAACCAAAACCTCAAACATGACTCATGTTTTTGTGGGGTTTTTTCTACATTTTCATCTCTTGCTCCTTTGAACCTCGTCAGCGTCAGAAAAGCAGCTTTCGTGGAAACGTCATCTGGAGCTACGGAGCCTAGAGCTGCAAGCGGGCGGCTCTACCTTTTCCCGGTGGGGTAGAAGCGCGAGCAGCTCAGCCCGTCCCAGGCGCAGTAGGGGTCCCTGGCGAGGCAGCAGTCCGCACAAGCCGAGCCGTAGGCGTGGCAGCGGTGCAGGGAGACCTGCGAGACCCCGAACTCAGAACTGACGTACAGCTGTTGCTGCAAAAGCAAACAGTTCAGATGTCAGTCGCCTGTTTGTCTTAATAAGTGGCTGGATGACAGCAGAACGAGGCAGAGTGTTGAAACCAATGTTTCCTTTGCTTTGAGGCTTTCCCTAGAAGATTTTCATCATTCGCCAATTACACACAGATAATGAATAACAATGCCATGTTGGGGTCATTGTAGATGGAAAAAAGAAAAAGGAGAGTCAATTCTTGCCAAAGAATGTCAAACATTTTCTGGAACATTTTCTGAGTTTGAACATTTGAAACTTGCAAGAAAAAAGTCAAATTTTGAGATTGATCTCAGAAATTTTCTCAAAAATCTTATGGATATCTGACTCTGAAAAGTTTAAATTTCCTGAACAGAAAAACTTTTTAATTTTTTAATTAATCTCAACATTTTTTTCCAGAATAAAAGGTGATTTCTGAGGTTGAGAAATTCTAAATTAGGAAAAAATGCAGAAATTTTATAATGAATCTCAGAATTTTCCAATAAAAAAACTTGGAATTTTTTAAAGACTTTCAAAAATGTTAAACTTTTGAAAGTCCAAAAATTTCCAAAGGTTGAAAATTTTTTACTTTTCAAAATTTCTGAAACGAATCTAAAAATTTCTGGGTTTACTTGTGAAAATGTTTTCTTTTTTCTATCTTCAGCATGGCTACTTTGCCATTGCAAAGCAAAGCATCAAACTGAAATCAAAACAAAAAGGGGAAAGGCTTTTGGGGTTGCTTACTTTTTTGGATGAGATTCTCAAATTTGTGACAGGAGCTTGATTCTGGATGAAAAACAACAAAAAGTGAAAATTAACTTGGGAAAATAAAGAGCCTCTTCACTTACAACCTGACTTTTGAAAGCAGCCATCAAATTAAATTTAAAACAATTTGCACTCCTATTTTCACTGCTGAGATTATTTTAGTGCAACAGATGTGTAAATTAAATCTAAAATCAATTTCTCCTGCTTTCCTTGAAGAAATATCCTGTGTTTTCAGAACAGATTCCAAAGAGCGCTGCAGCCCAGGCGGCGTCGGGGATCAAAGGAGCCGGAGAGTCAGCGCAGATTTTAGCCAGGATAAAGCAACATGTGCGAAGGGTCAGTCAGGGTAGCAGCCAGACGTCTGTCTGTCTGTCTGTCTGTCTGTCTGTCTGTCTGTCTGTCTGTCTGTGCCAACGCGTTTCCCTGCAGTCTGTGCTGCATCAGCCTCAGCGGCGTCAACCTGAACCCGTCACCGCTCTGCTTTTGATTTTCAGGAGAGACAAAAGGCAGGCGGGCGTTCAGACCTTAAACACTTCCAGCTCCTCCAGGACCAGATCGCCATGCAGGGACCGGTTGCTGGGCAGAACTATCACCTTCTGGATCGTCCCTTTGTCTGAGGAGAGAGAGGAGCAGAGGGTCAGCAGACTATTTAAAAACAGAAATAGCTCCAAGGTGAAACTGCTGGAAAGAGACTGATTCACTTTTACCACAGAATTTATTTAGAAAGGATGGACATACAAACAGATGGACAGAAACATGGAATAGATTAATGACTGGATGGATGGATGAACTAAAAGATGAATGGACGTTTATTTTCCACACTATTTTCTTTTCCTCTTTTATTCTGTAAAACATTTTCATCAAATTCTCAGATTGCGTTTCAAACAGGAATAAACTGGAATCTCCTAATCTGGCGCCAAGGAGGTCAGGACTCAACATCCTCCCAAAGCCCCACCATCATCATCAGCGTCATCAGGCTACGTAGGAGGAAGCTGAGCACCATCATCATCATCATCATCAGCTTCTGGGTGCGTCTGATAAGAGCGCCTCCTCTTCCTCCTCTTCTTCCTCCCTGAGTCAGCCGGCGCTGGCTCCTCTTCAGGAATCCAAACATCAGAGCGGCGGCTCCGCAAACACCAGCAGCTGCACCGGAGCCTCTCACTGCAGCCTGATGCTAATTTACACTCAAAGGAAAATAAACGCTCCATATGCGCCGCATGCAAATACAAGCTAGGTAGTTTGTCAGACAGACAGACAGAGGCCTCTGTTCAAACTGTGGTCGTCTAATTAATGAAGCAGTTTCTTCATGTCTTCCTGAGTTACAACTTCAAATTTACATTTTGTGTCCCTCTGGGTAAATATACATGATTATGCAGCGTTTTGAGTCATCAAGCCTCTGATGAATCACCATCAGTCATTTAGATTCTTGTGTTTGCTTATGGAGATTTTGATTCACTCGTGTTTCTTGTTGAGCTTTCTTCCCTCTTTCTATACACCTGCCTGCATATGAATCTGTTGTGGCATCACTTGTGATTTTAATCGAATTTCTTGTTTACTGTTATTGATTGAAAGGTACTAGATACTTTGAGTTAAAGTAGAAGAAAATACATATTTCCCTGTGGAATAATAGTCAGAATTTTAAAAATAAAAGAGGATTTATACAACAGTAACAAAGACATACTTTGAAAAAAATGGACTTCATGAACAAATAAAGCCAAGATCAGCAATGATTTAAATTTTAATTATCATATGAATGAAAAATGAATTCTATTTTGACATTTTATAAAGTATTTTTGGATCAAATCATGATTAAAATCTTCAAAAACAAAGTTTCAGTTAAAAATTTGTTTTATATATTTGTTGCTCCGACATTGGAAACAGGCCAGAATGACCTGATCGACCCGAGTGAATCGGTACAAATGATCAATCCACATCTATTCCTCTATCAGTCCAGCTGCAACACAATCTGCACGCTGTAAACTTTTCTATCCGTTTATCTGATAACTGGCTGCACTGAGCAATCGGTTACATATAAAACAACTCAGCAACTGGAATATTAAACCAATTGTTTAGTGACAAGAGACTCAAGAATTCATGCACAATGTTATTTAAAATGATTAGACAAATTAAGTGGGTCTCTTATTAATCATATTTTCCATATATATATATATTTGTGAGAAAAAATTTATGTTTATAACAGAATCTTAAAATGTAATTTAAGGCAAAATGTTGCTAGTGTTCATGTGAGTTAAAGAATGCTGAATGCTATTAAATTTTTAAAAAGATATTTCCCCTCAGGAAAACATTGATTTAATGTGAACTGAGTAGAATTAAAATTTAATATTATTATTACTTATGCAGGTCAATTTTTATCCATCTTTAAGTGAGTACAAGGAGTTTTTGACAGTTTATATAATCTTATTTTTGTGGAAACAAATCAAAAAGACACAAAGGGACACGGCTGCACATGGTTCTTACCTGTTCCCAGGAAAAGAACCTGGTAGTTCCCGTCCGCAGCCATCACCTGGTCCACCGCCACCGCCGTGTACCTGTAGTTGGCGCCGGTGCGGACCACCAGGGGTCTCCGTCCCACCGGGTAGATGGCGTTGAACATGACCGGATGGTTCCGGACAAAGTTCACCACATCATCTGGGAATTCCTTCGTGGTGTGAATGTCGGGAGTGAAGGCTCCGCCGGGACACTGGAAACGCAGTTTATACAATACCTTATAAAAATAATATCACAGGTTCAAGCCAATAAAATCTGTCTTATTATCCATGGAGTTATTTTATTTAAATTTCCATAGCAGGATGGCACTCAAAATACTTAGATCTATTTTTTTTTCATATTATACTGGAAATTATGTGCAAATATTTGGTCTGCTTGTCTCGGTTGAATGCACTGCAAAAACTAAATCTTATCAAGGACATTTGTTTCATTTCAATTTAGAGAGATCAATTAACCTGACAGTTATGTTCTTGGACTGTGGGAGGAAGCCGGAGTACCCAGAGAGAACCCACCATGCACAGGGAGAACATGCAAATTCTGTGCAGAAAGACCCCGAGCGGGGAATCGCACCCAGGACTTCCTTGCTGCAAGGCAACAGTGCTACCAACTGCATAATAATAACAATATTAATAATGTGTTTAGTCATTCAAGACAAGCATTTTATAAAATCTCCTCCTTTCATATAAACTTATGAAGTGAATTAAATTAGAGTCAGCGTTAAAGTCCTGTACAAGCAGTGATGATGCACATATAGCTACTGAAAATCACACATAATGTTAAAATAAATGAAAATTTGTTATTTTATACTGTATAGATTTCGCTTCTGTCTGCATTATAATGTTTCTTCCTTTCTTCCTCACAAAGTTTTCAATTATTATTATAATTATTCTAAGATTTTATGCTGCACTGATCTGGAACAAACTCCCAGAAAACTGCAAAAAAGCCGAAACAGCAACGTTGGCGTTTGACAAAATGCAATGTTTATTGCTTGTTTCATAAATTTAAACTGTTTAAACTGTATGTTCCATACAAATGAACTTAAGTTTTTTTTTTTTTTTAAACGTAAAATGATGAGAATGAGTCTTACTGTCCCGGGCCTTGGGTAGGGAATGCGGCCCTGGAAAGCCACCCACTGGAAGTTGGGTCCGTCTCTGTGAGCGAACGGCCCGTTGAACACGGTCAGGATGTCCGCCATGTTGTACGCACACACTGCTGACCCTTTGAACACGGAGCTGCAGGAATAAAAACCGCAGCTGGTAAAAACCTCCTGCTGTTTTCACTTAACAACGTCTCAGGGGATGTGAGAGCGGAAAAAAAAAAAAAAAGCCTGAAAGGAAGTGTTGTCAAACGCCACTGGAGGCAGCTCACCTATTTCCTCTTAAATATGTGATGTGGTTTGGTTCAGATACTAAAAGCAGCTCTGAGTAACACATGGGAAAAGAAACAGAATCTTACTGTGTAGAGACAGAGAAAACAATATTTCTACATTAGTGTAAACTCTGAATGAACCTGAGGTAACAAGTGAATATGAGAAAACACCAAATATGGATCAAGTTACTTATTTTTTTCTCAGTTTTTAGACTAAATCTGAACTGCTTGGTTCATTAGATGACGGTGATATAAGTTCTGGATTAATTTAATGATTCCTTTTTGTTTTTTGGATCTCATCAAGATTATGGCTGTTCTTGAAGACAGTAATAAACAGCTGTGTCTGCACTCAATGAGAACTTCTTAAAATTAAACAACATTGGACATATTTTGAAAGTGATCAGTCCCTAAACGAGTTAACTTGTTTTTTTCCAATCAAAGTCACTGATTGTTGGAGATAATTCAGAAATATTTGCTAAATATTTTGTAATATTTGTGCATATGCATCACAGTAAATGTGACTTCTTGTTTGACAACAGACTTCTATTTGAGGTCAAGTAAAGCTGAGGAAGCAGCGCAGCAGAAGAAAGAAATACTGCCACCTTCAGGTGGGAATTAGCATCACATAAACTCAACATTTTAACCACTTTGGTGGAAAATTTGCAGTAAACTCACAACTCAAGTATCCGTGTAAAAAAGTGTGGGAATCTTTAGATGTTCTGTGATGAAAATTTAAGTACACAACTATTATGTTGAAGGTTTTATTTATGCATTCCCCTGCAGTCCAAAGGACCACATAAATAGTTACGGTGGGCCAGGTTTGGCCCCCGGGCCTTGAGTTTGACACTTAACTTACTGACTTTAACTAATGTTTCAATTTAAAAAGCATCAACTTTATGTACAGAAAAAATTAAGTGACTTTCTTAGTTTCCAGGATTTATAATCGATTTCTGTACTCACGGAAGATTAGGGCAACTGAAAAGAAAAACAATTAAAATTCTTGCTAGAATTGTAGTAAAGTAGAAGATTATTATGCTGTGGTACTTTTTTCTTTTTCAAACGCTGTGGAAACCTTATAAGAGAGCATGACATGAGCAAGTCTTAGCAAAACCAGGACATGTCCAAATATGCAAAATGCGATGCGATGGAAGAAAGGCCTTCCTCTAGTTCTCCACGCAGTGATGAACAGAAATGTTACAGTTGGCTGCATCAGCCTCACCTTGTGGATGTGAAGACTCCAAACAGCAGCAAGCCTTTGGGCTGATCCGTCTCCAGCAAAAATACGCTCTCTGTAAGGACAAACAGAGGAAGATTCCCAAAAGTTTTCCTCCTCGCCCTTCAAGTCTCCGACAAGTTCTGGATGCACGAGTCAGTGAAAGGCTTTCTGTCTCGACAGGAAGGGAAACGCTGGTGTGCTCAGAAAATAAGAACAAGGTCAGCAAAGGCAAAATTGTTCACAAATATGACGATCTTAAATCAGAATCCAGGTTAAACATCAGATGGTCGGTGGGATGTTTATGGAAAAACGAGCCGCTGGGAAACTTTAAACTGTTAAGGCAAGAGTGTTTAAAATGATGACGGATTCGGCTTTTGGCGGACTCAAAATATGTTGGAGTGTGCCCAACTGCAAAAACACTAAATTGAAATAAGACAAAACTGGCTTTTCAGCAAAATACACACTGAAAAAATATATTTTTTTCAAGTAATTATGGTCTAGTTTCTAGTTATCTGCAAATGGAACAAAACTAACTTGCAAGCAATTTCTCAGCAAGATATAGAAGCTTGTTTTAAGTAAACAATTCCTTAATATTGATGAAAATCTACTAGTTCTATCAGCAGATCATTTCACTAATCACAACTTTAATATTCTGACAATAAAACTAGAACTTTTTTACCAATATAAAAAAATTACTGGCTCCAAAAAAGGTCCTGTATCTTGCTGAAAATGTATTTGCAAGTAGGTTTTATCTCCTGAAATTTTTGCACTAGAAACTAAACCAAAAATATTTGATAAGATTTTGTATTTTTGCAGAGCAGGAGCTTTTTTGAGTCAATAATTCACTAATAGTGAGTAAAAGTACTAATTTCACTAGCAGATTTTTTTCACTTACCAGAGGAACTAATTCTATTTTATCAATATTATATTTTGTTAGAAAATTACTTTTACGTTAGTGTTGTCTTGTTTCAAATGTCTAAAAATATTTGCATTAGAAATTAGACTAAAGATGTTTGGTGATGTTGATTTTTTTTTTTTGCAGTGTGCATGAAAACATGAGGTTTGTGAGAGCGACAGATCTAACTACAGAACATAAAACGTCATTTTCACCAACCGAGTTCATCAAAGTGTGTTTCGGTGCCGTCGTCCTCCAGAACCGAACACACCATCCTGGCTTTCAGGAAGGTGGTCCACTTGTTGACGAGGCTGCGCTGCCCTCCGGTGTCGTTCTGCAGACAAAAGCTGCAGATGGAAACTGCGACCCGCGAATTAAAGAGTGGATTTACTCAGATACTTACAGGACACACTCTGGCCACCATGGTGTGGATGTTTTTAGTGTTCCCGTCGTTATCCGTTAACCTCTCGCGGAAGAAAAAATACAACTTGGCGTCGTTTGGGTCAGTTCCGTCTGGAATGAGCTGGGCATCAATGAAAACTGGCTCTGAACAAAACAGAATTACAGGGATTTCTATTATTTAACTCAATAATTAAAGTCAAACTCTTGTTTGAGTTTTCTCACCACTGAGCCACTTGGAGTTATGCTGATCTGTTCGCACTGCATTTCTCTTGGTCAGGCTCCTGAAGATGGCAGCATCTGTCCCCATAAAGTCGATGTACATGCCTGAGAACAGCTCCTGATCTGCAGCAACGCAGAGGCACCAGGTTATTCTAACAAGTTGAATAATAAAGACAATATTTTCTATCATGACAAGCAATCCAACATTTCTTTTGGCCAAAATAACTTCAGTATGCAGAAAAACACATTTTCAGCCTGTAAGTTTGGCCTTTTATGAAGGACATGAACACAAACCAGTGAAGGAAAGAGGAACATTTTAAAAAGAAATCTCGTTAATTTCAGTTTCTGCTGCTTCTAAAAACTGTTTTTAGTAGCAGTCTTTTCTAAAAACAGTCTGCTTTTTAAAATCTACACACCAGAAAACTAATTGCATAGATATGCTTTTAAATGAAATTTTCTCAGACTACACAGATACAGGAGGTTATTAGAGCGATTCAGGTTTAAGATTGTTCCTATCGTTTCAGCATAGAAGCAGCATTCAGCTTCTATGCACCACAAATCTGGATCAATCCTCCAGAAAACTGCAAAACAACTGAAACTCTGACTTCCTTTAAATAAAAACCTATGTAACTAGAGTTTATTTTGAGCCATAAATTAAATATTAATCACAGTATCTGATGTGTATTGGTGGCACTTGGCTAAATGTAATGTTTACTGATGTTCTCAATAGTTGACTATGTGGTGTCTTCTGTAACTTTGTATTTTTGTGTTTATATGATGTAAAGTACTTTGAAATGCCTTGTTGATTGATTGATTCAGCCAGAGTTACAATGACAAGTATCAAAGCATATTTAGGTCATGAAATGGTCCAGTCAAAACCCAGATTCAAACACAATTGAGAATTTAGTGCCGTTTAGACACTCTATTCAAGTTTTTTCTCAAACCTGAAAAGGCATAAAATCCCAAAAAGTGCAAAAAAACTTTCATAAAAATGCACATCATGTAAAATCTCAAAATAGGGGAAAGTTTGAAATTATAGCATGAAAAAAAAGCTCAGTTTGTTTGGATATTTTGCAAGGCAATGATTAAACCTCACACACAAGCTGGGTTTGCTAAAAAAGCTTTGATGCCGGCGGCATGTCGACGCTCACAGAGGGTCTAAAACCTGCTGATTAACAAATTAAAAAGTGATCTAATTAAAACCAGAAGCTTGGTTATATTCTGCCTTCCTTCCTTCCTTGTTTGCTTCGCCCTGCAGGTTATTCCACTCTGGATCGCCGTTTCGTGTGAGGCTCCTCTCCTGGCCCAAAAGCTGCTGGCACGGCAACGCTCAGGTGTCGGAAAGCCGAGCTAGGGTGCAAAGTGTCGCCTAAAACGCAACCCAATACCCCTCGACCAATCAGATCAAAGGACTTGATGAGTTCAACATGAAAAAGACATCAACTCCAAGGACTGTAAGTGTTTGGTTGGAACTTCAAGTTAGGAAAGCAAAAACAAACAAACAAAACAAAAAAATATCAAAATGGTTGAAAACATTGTAAAAATATAAATGTAGCACTAGAATCACTTGTTTATACACATTTTGGAGGAAATAATTTAATAAATAAGGAAATTATTTAAAAAAAAAAACTCAATTCCTCATGAAAAGTTTACAGAAACATTTACAAATTGGACAAATCAGTCGGCCAAAATCACAGAATTTAACACAAACAGACAGCAGATTGTTTTTGAGTCATTACATCTGCTGAGTTTTTCTCTTTGGTTACAAACTTCTGTTACAATTTTGAATATTAAAACTAAACTCATGTTTGGTTTTGTGTTTGTTGCTGGCCCAAACAAATTAAATAAATGTGAAGTTTATAAAAGATTGAAACCACATATTTATGTACATATTGTGCCACTGTTCAACATTTTATCAAACTGAACTGACTTTTCCTGTATTTTAACACTTTGTGGATGTATTTTAAGTAAACACTTGAAATGTACAGCTTTACTGTGTGACACTGAGGGAATAAAGTCTAAAAAAAACCTAAAATATTTCAAGAAGAGAAGTGTGGGCTTCCTCAAATCTCACTTGTTGCAATTTTCTGATGTCTGAAGGTGCCAAAGACAACAAATATAAACAACAAGGACATATTTTATGACCTAATCATGAAAATGTGCAAAAAAAACCAAACAAAACCTCACAAAGAGGCTAAATTAAGGCGGCAAGATTCATTATCTACAGTGAAAATTGTCCTGCACTAATCAAAAGTTATTAAAAACAGATTAAATTATTTTCTTGTCTGATTAAACAATGTTTGATCTATTAAGTCATAATGGCCTCTTTATATTTTTCTCTCCAAATGACGAAGTCTGAGAAATCCATCATAATGTGAAGCATGGAGGTGGCAGCATCATGCTGTGGAGGTGTTTTGCTGCAGAGGACAGAAAACTGATTGGAAATATTTAACCAATATAAAAATTCTGAAGAAAACGAGAACAATGTAACCAATTAATGAGATAATTCTGAATAATTTACTTCAGTTCAGATGTATTATGAACATTTTATTTATTTAGGAGTCTAATTCAAAACAAACGAGGTTGTTTTCAGAGTAGCTGCTGCTTTGAAGAACATTTTAATGCCTGATGTCTGACATCAGCATTTCTGCTGTTTATCCCATCTGTCTGAAAAGCAACACAAGCAAATTCCTGACAAGCCGTTAACCTCCCGCAGGCGAAACTGATCACTTTTTGTATTGACATCAATGGAAGATAATGAAATGAGGATGAGGAGAAGCACCTACTGATCATGACAGAGACGGTGTTGACTTGAGGGTTGAAGGAGCACCTCCCTTTTCCCGATTCCGTCTCCGAGTCGACATGAAACACTTGTTCCTTTTGCAAAGTGACAGAAAAAGACAGAAAATTTGACAGGATTTTTCTGCAATGGCTTTGCTAACGTCAGAAAGAAGCCAGATTTTCCTTGCATTTGGTTTAAATAACAGACAGAGACCCAGACCTTCGTCAGTTTACCTTAACCGGCCCATGAGGGACATGAAAATAACATTCCACTTTTTGTGCAGACAAGGAATTTCCCTGCTGATGTGTTGGGCGGCCATCTTTCCAACACCCTGCTAGCGGCAGAGGCTCGGCCTGGGTGAATGATAGCACTTCCTGTCCCATCCATTAGGATGCGGCTCGCTGGATGACATCAGTTAGGAAGTATTAATCCAGGAAAATGTGTGCGTTTGCCAAAAGCTTGTGGAGGTGGACGCAGTGCAGCTGGCAGATTCCTGGAATGGAGATTTAAAACGACTCCTGCTAAATGTTTTACTCATCTATCGGGACTTGACCTGGATGTTTGATTGCTGAAAGATTTTAGAGGTAAAATAATAAATTCTACCATCTTTTTCATGTGAATTTATAATATGACACCCTATAAAGACAAAGAGTCATATTTAACACCTTGAACTGACCACTTAGTGCAAAGTTTTCTCTCCCAGTTGTTGGCTTGAAGAAAAAAGGTAAAGTGGGACTACAAGCTGTGAACAGATGTGATAGTTATATCTGTAAAATATTATGAAGCATGTTGTCATTTGAGGTTATGTTTGAAGCTGCGTAAGGAGGATTAAAGAGATTTTTAGTTATGATACACGACTTTAGTCTCAGTCCTTCTTAAAGTTTGGTTTCGTTTTTGTATAAGTTTTCAGTGACCATAAAAAGAGACATTGCTTTGATTTGCTCTCAAATGTTACTTTTTGCATCCAATTTGGAAAACTATACATATCTGTTTTTTTCCCCTATTGCTTTATCAAGTCAATATGCTGTTACAGTATTTTTCAGACACCCATAAACTTTATTGTAATTCATTCAGTTGTTGGAAACAATGCTATTTAGATCAAATATGAATGGATATTTGATTTAAATGGGGTCTTTCTGTAGCTATGCCTTCAGGAAGTCATCACAACAACTCTATTTTTGATGAAGAAATAAAACGTAAAGCTAAAGAAAAGAAGTCTAATTTACATACTGCCCATATAAAAGACATTTTAATTGGCTAAAGTTGACTCAAATGTTCTCAGACACTCAAATTAGCTTGAAAAAACAAGATTTTAGTTGCCAATACATGCAGAGTTTGAACTCTGATTGCTTCATTTTAAAGTGTTTCTCTGTTCTTAAGAACTAAAAATATGAGCCCCAATGCTTCACTGAAACGCTTTGAGACAAATGGTGTCACATTTCTCAGTTTTAAGCTATTATATTGTCACAACCCTCATTATAATGTCAAGTAAACAAAGTGAGATGAATAAAAAGGATTTTTATGCCATTGTTTAATGCAAGATTATTGGAATTACATGTTGATTTCAGACACTATAGACGCCAGAGTTAATTAGGGGTGAAGGAAACACTAGATAATTAGATTTTGAATGAATGAATCTAACTAAAAAAAAAAGTTAATTATTTGTCAAGCTGTCAAACAACTTGTCATCTCCATTATATTGAATTTCAAAACACCACAACAAGCTGGGACGCCGTCAAGAAACAAACGACCAGGCGGACAGCTCTGAACTTTCCGCTAGAGCGACTTTTCATGCTCAGCAGATCTCGTTTCACGAGGCAGCGACATGATTAAGCTACGAGCTGGAGAACAGAGCAGACTGGCTTTCAAACAAAAGCACAAATGACAAAAGGCTCAGAGTGCAGAGAAAGTTTGGTTTTCACTCCTTATTAACGTTTGGCAGCGCTTCGTGGGCGAATGTTTGTTTCCATTACAAATGTGGGAAAAACATTGTCAATATTCCGTGAATGTCAAAAAACACAATTTTGCAACTTTCTTCTTCTTTTTCTTCTTCGTGGCTTGAGCCAGCGGCGACATCCAGATGTTGATCATGTCGCAAAAAAAGTGTTGCTACTGCAGTTTCGCGGGATAAACAATTTTTTGATTCAGCCCAAAAATTACAACTGGATATTGTGGGCAGAAAAAAGGAGGAGTACATTTATGACAAAAAATGTTCAAAAATTGATACATTTTCAAAAATTGCTAAAAAATAAAAAAAAAACTTTAAATTTTGTGATTAATCTTAAAAATTTTGTAGAAAAATAGTGAACAATATTGAGTTTCAAAAGGGAATATTTTTGGAAAAAAAAAATCCTCTTTAAAAAAATAAAATTTCTGACAATCTGGCAGAAATTAAATTTTTTTTCTGTTTGCAATGGCGCTATGCCACAGAGCACAAAACTTTTCAGGGAGTTTTTTCCTAACTGGCGCATTTCCATTAAGCGATTTATTTTCAAAATGTCAAGTTGCACAATTACACGGTCAATGGGAACACAGAGTGAGGACTTTTCTGCTGCAGGGCTTCCCTGTCTTTTCTGCTGGTTGGATACGAGTGACGAGAAAAGCGCAGACCTCCAGTTTCTTCTTCTACTCCCTTATCTCACGCAGCATCAAACTGACAACATGGAAACTTGACACATATGCAGTTATGAAATCAAATACTTTGCTAAAAACATACGGCAATGCTTAACTTTGCTAATGCAGTGATGTGATTATAGCAATTTGAAATGCACTAGTTGTCAAACAATTCCTCCAGCTCCAGATGTAGTGTTATTCCACAGCCAAAAGTCTGGAAGGGTATTCTTAATAGCCAGTGCTTTTTCGCTCTCAGCTGCGGTTGACTAGTTTATTTCCATAATGAAGAGAATCCATCATTTTGAACCCACCTCTGGTCTCCGGCCTCTGTTGATGTACACACAGACGGGGCTGTAGGCTCCACTGCCACACATAAACAGATGAGTTCTGTTGTAAGGCTGCACCACACGGACAAAATTCCCACAGCCGTGCTGGAAAGTGAGACAAAAAACAAAAAAGTCAAACATGAAAGCATTTCTTACAACTTTCCAAGCTGAAAATAATGACTTTATTATGAAGGAAATACACTTAAACACCTTCCAAAATATGAGGAGCTAAATTAAATGTTTTTTTTCCTCTCATAAATCAAATTCTGGATTTAAATGTCGCTGTTAAATTGCTGCTTTACCCTTGTGGCAAAACTTGGCATGAAAGTAAGCCAATGAAATAGACTGAAAAAAAAGGATCCTACACATTTTTTTCAAACTATTTTTCTATAATCCTGGTTTATACAGGATTATAGATTATTTTTAAATTGATTATTTTTAATTTACTGAAATGAAAGTTCAGTAAATTAAAAACAAAAGTGACCGATATGCATATTTTTGTATTTTACTCAGATGTTTCTCATCTCTAGTGTCTGAATAAAGGGGAATATTCTGCAATATTTTTAACAGATGTTAAATACAAAAGTTTCTGCTGGGACAAAGTAAAATAAAAAATACTATTTACTCTCCCAGTGGTTGTCTATAAAAACAACGTTTTGGACAATCTGAAGGAATAATCTTTTTGAAACAAAAAGGTTCTTGTCTACATGATCTCAGGGGTTTCTTTCAAAAACATTGAAGCATATTCGCTGCAGGTCTCGGTTCCTCTGAATGGGGCCTTGTTTTAATCTTAGCATAAAGTAATGTTGCTATTACCAAGGTTCCCACTGGGGCTTTTAACTGAAATGAATTCTGTCATCACCAGAGCTTCTTTAAGAATTTTTATTCACTTCATCACACATGACAGTAAAGCACAAACGCATCACTGCTTCCTTTTACAAAAAGCAAGCAGATATCCGGTCTCTTTCTTGGATGTTATTTCAAATTTAAACACAAGGTGAACGACGTTTTCACTGCACATTTATGGCTCCTGAATAATATTCCGCATGAGGCAGTATTTCAACCTTATCTCAGTTATGACTCGCTCATGATAACATAAACCCAGCAGTGCTCACCGCCCTGGTATTGAGGCCAGTGGAAAAAGAAGATCAGCGATACTCACTGAATGATACAAGCGTAGGCTCTTTCCGACGTCATGGTGTAAGGTTTAAAAAGTGAACAGGTTAAGGTGGCCTATGGTCTATACAAAACATGCTTGTTACACTTTTTGCACAATATTGTTGTTAGAAAATCAGATTTTTATCCTTGAAAAGCAGAAGTAGAGCCTCCTGCACAACGTACAAGAATGCTGCAAGTCCTTTCTGGGTGGCAAGTCAACAACAAAACATTTGTGCTTTCCAGCAGCCATTGTACAGCGCACACAGCGGTAAAACCAGCTGACCACATGTGCTGGCGCTCAGCTTGGGTTGCTAGGTAACTGTCTGGGGTTGCTAGGTGACGGGCAGTGCCTGCTGATTTGTGTTTCTAGAAGTTTCTGAAAAGGGTTATTTCCCAAAACATGCAAACAAACACAAACAGAAGGGATGGTGTCATATCCTTCCTTAAGGCTTCTATGAAAAGACATTTCAGAAAAAGCTCAAGAGTTTTAAAGCTGCTCACCATTAGCTAGTGCTGTGCACTTCAGCTCAGCTGGCTGAAAGTAGGCTACTACACTTCTCTATGGTTACAAAATGGATCAATTCAAAAGTGAGACCATCCTTACCAGACAATCATCTAGTCTGGCATCTTTTAGTTAAAATGACTTCAACAAAACTTGTCTTGTTCTCTCTGCTCTCTTTCATCTCAGACATTTACAGAGTTCCTTGCATTTTTAAGTTGTTTATCAAAATAAGTCAGAAAAACACACATTTATATTGTGTCCCATTACTGCACGTCATGTTTGTTTTAAAATGTGCATTATGTTACATTTAGTCAATAAAATCATAGCACGCCCCCCTAAGCTTAGACGAAACTACATGAAAACCACTGCTGGGTTGTTGCCTCTTAACCAAACTCAGTAGCAGTGAGAGTGATCAACTTTGTTGGTAATTGAGCGTAAGCTTGCAGAAAACGTGTGGAGAAAGAGATCGGAGCAAAGTGGGGGAGGACAAGAACACGAATCCAGGGAGTCGTCAGGAACTTGGACTCCAGCATTGGCAGCTGCTGCAGATCTTGGTCAGCGAGCAGAAATCCACCGAGAGCCATTAGTGAGCTGCAACTGAATATTTCACTGACTCACGCCCATTTCTGTTATCCATCCCCATTTGGTTTATGTCTGTCTGTCCGTCCTGCTTTTCCCTTCGCTTTCATCCCTCGTTCATCTCCACAGAACCACATAAAGCCTGCGGTCGTGTCTGATCAGAAGTAAAGAGTAGCGTTTATGCATGGAGCCTTATCAAGTTCTACTTTTCTCTCGCGTTTCGCTCATGACCCCCAAGCGCCTTCACTCTGAATTCAATGCGATCACGTTGGGTTTTGTTTGAGGTTTTCTGAGAAAGCAGTAAATTTATAAAACCTTTGGAGCTGGTTTTGATTTTTCCTCTGCTGCAAACAACACAAAAGTCTTGGATAGAAAAGCGATCAAAACCCACCTGACCATGCCTGAAAACATAAATGTGTCTTTGTTAAATCACAAATTGACTGTGTTTTAAGACGTTTTATAAAAATTGAGTTAAATTGTACAAATCATGCTCAGGCATTATTACTATTGCAACTGTGGAATCAAGAAATCTGCATGCAATGGTGCAAAATATTGTGAAAAGCAAAACATTACGATCCGAGATAAAGATCAGATGGGAAACAAAACCAATAAACTTTTAGAAAACCTGTTAAAAATCTGTTAAATTTTTTATAATTTTTTGTTTTTGTCTGGGTTTTTCAGGGTTAAACATCCTGTTCATCCTTGAAAACCCAAAACAATTTTCCCCACATGGTCAGGTTGGTTCAGATTGCATCTTTTCCCTTAATAAGTGAAATCCTCATGTAAAAACAGATTTTTTTTGTGTTTATTCAAGTTATTTTTGTCTTATTTTTTATATCTGAAAGATAAGAAACCTTTTTCCGCAGCACTATAGAGACAGGAGGTGAAATTTAAGTTGAACAAGCAACAACGACTCTGAGACAGTCGACCGTGGGTGGGAGAAAATGAAATGTATGGCAGTGAAAAAAGCTAAAAAACAGCGACAGTAACAGGAAAAGTGATCAAAGAAGGCAGGAATTACAGTCAAACAGAAAATGAAACCAGTAGAAAGTGTTAAGAAATTAAACTGACAGAGGAAGCTGGGGCTCTGGGTGGAGACGGCTCACCCGAATATTTGAGAGCGCGTGTCAGCAGCACACATGCGATTACTCACAAACGACTCACTTACTGGAAGCTGCTCTCCCTCTATTTTTGAAACGGCAAATGACAACCTGGCTGTACAAGTCAAGCTTCCATTTGCTTTATTAAACTAGTTTGAAATGTGTGCTTCTTTTAGCTAAACCATTGTTTCTGTTCTCTGCTGCACTCATTTGAGGACAATCCAATTAAAGGAGGAAAGATGCAGAGGAGAAATCTGTCTGCTGAGGCTCGCCGGATGATTTCATTAGAAAACGTGTTGCAGCTAACAAGAACCAGAGTGCCTAATGAAATCTGTCCATCAGTCAGCTCTGGTTAATTTACAACAGGCTTCAGTTTACCTCCAGCTCGCTCATTAAAAGATGAACCAAGCAGGGACTCCAGTTGGTGCCTCGACATAAATCTGCTGCTGGCTACAAGTGTATTTGGAGTCAGGACAAGCTAACAGATGCTGGAGAAGAATCTGTCAGGGTGGGGAGGCTTTATTTTGGGAGAACAGATTTGGGAACAGGTGACAAAAGCTTTGATTTTGATCTTGGCCATCGTGCCAGAGAAACACAAATGCTTTCTAGTCGGTGCTGGAAAAATAAAGTTAATATTCTAACGGAGGAGGATTAGGGCAACTGAAGAAAAAATAAATAATTAAGACTTTTTTCCTCTCAAAATTTGGACTTCTTTAACTCAGAGTTGTACTTCTGTATCCATCTATGTGAAAATCCCAAAAAGTTCTCATAAAAATGTTTGGGTATTCACATGAAAAAGTCAAAATTAAAGTCAGAGTTCTGAATTCAATCTCAAAGTTCTGACTTTTAATCAAATTTCTCCCTTTTTTAAAATCAAAATTCTGATGTTTTTCCCTTTTAATTTTAAGTCTGTCAACTTATGTCAAATTCCAAATAAATAACCAAACATTCTCAGAAAAAAGAAGAATTATGAATTTATTTTAAGATATCACAAATGCTTGTCAAGGATACAAAACAAAATGTGTCCAGTTCTTAATAATGGATCTGCATACAGTTTATATCAAAACCTTAAACCTAAATAATAAAGAGTTAAAAGTGAAAAATTTGGATTTTTGCATGAGTTAATCTCAATCTTTTTCTCTGACTTGTTGCATTTGTCATCACTTCATATTATCAAACCTAAAAAACAAAAACGTAAACATGAGGTACTTACTGTAGAGTCCTTTCCTGCCATTTGACATTCTTGTATTTTGCTTGTACTTGCAGGCCAAAACAACTGCAGGTGAAAAAAAACACAGCAACACATAAGATTGTGAAATAAAAACACAATTGGTGGTTTTGAAATAATGCATTTTCATAACTCAGTGTGAGTAATTACAGCTTTCACCTGCAGAGAATGTGTTTGCAACGCCGGAAAAGGGTTCAAAGGTCAAGCAAAAATGAATATGTCATGCAATTTACTGGAGGAAAAGAAGTGGATGCAGCGAGGGGCTCTCAGGGGAAAACCAAATGCTTTCTCATCTGTTTATCCACTCCATGCCTGTCAATTACATGGAAGATAATTCCTTCACGGGATTCACAATTTGCTATAAGAGCACTTTGGCAGTTTCACTGCTTTTCCAAATAACCCTAAAATTGCACAGATTATGGCAAATATAAGGCAATTTGCATATAACCAACAATTATTATAATCAGCAGCAATTGTAGCAAATATTTTTTTCCTGTTTTTGAGTCTTGTTTTTGGGGTAACAAGAAGGAAAGCTACGGACTGCAGAGGAAGCGGTTTTCCTCGTGTGTTAACTCGAACCATCTGCTGACCTTAAGTGTGCCATGGGTGACGTTGTTGAGGTCCATGGAGAGAACATGGTCCTTGCAGCCCACATACATCCTGTCCTGGTCCTCATCCATGTGCAGGATCCTGTAGTCCATGGCCTTGTCAGATATACTGAAGTGTTCAAACGACTGCGATCCCTTCAGATCTGCAAGGAACAAAGAAAATGTTAAAAGAAATGTTCAAATAAACCGAGATAAAAGGAGCTTTTGAGGTAAATTCCTAATAAACAGATAAAAAAAGAGATAAGACTTAATATTGTGGCTTTCAGGATTTGGCAGTTGTTCTTTAAATACGCCTTAAAACAGGAGAAACTACAGATGCCACTAGATATTGACTTGGCACAAAGACAAACTGCAACTAAAGCACTCGCTCCATCTACAATATACTACCAAGAAGTCAGTCGAGATATAAAAGCAAACCTTTTTTGTTCTGTCAAGCTCAAGTGAAAAACCTAATCTCTTCTGAATACAAGAAGCACATGAAGCAGGGAGCATTCTTGACGCAGACAGGGCTGTAGTCATGACCACTTAAGGTGATTCCTAGACTAGATAAAGTCTACGGTTGGAGATAAAGTCAAGACGAAGCTCAAACAAGTTCAAAGCCAAGTTGAATCTGAGCCGAAAGAAATAAAACAGAAGCTTTATTATCCCTTAAGCTGCTGCAGGGTGAGGGAAAACTCGAGGCGAAGGCAAGTTTCAAATGTGAAAGGAAAGCAAAAACTAAAAAAAGAGACTAGACAAAAAGGGACAGATTTCTTGACAGTAGTTTGTGGGGAATAGGAAGGAAATCCAGACCTTCTCCAGATTATTTCAGGGAATCCTCTGAAAGATTGCTGACCAGGGAAGATGGGGATAAGATGCGTCATATTCAGGTAAGTTATGTTGTGTTTCTGAAACTCAACATGTGGTGCTTCTTCTAACCCATCAGCTGCAGCAAACTCGATCAGTGAATTGTTTTTCTGGATCCACTTAATCTCATGCAGTAGTCTCTTCCTATTCCAGCAGTCAGTAAGGCAGCAGAAAAATTGACCAAAATCAGATATTTTCCTGTCTGAACAACCCAATTCCAATCTACCCGACTCCCAAATTAGTGCCACTTCCGTATGTGGCACTAATTTGGAGGAGTATCCGGTTATTTTGCAGCATCTATCCGGTTATTTTGCAGCATCTGCACCAGAAGCAACCCGACGTGATACACCAGAATGCATAAAATGTCTGGAAATTTAAATTATGAAAGTTTTCTGTATCATTATATTGCATTACATCGCAATCAGATGACTCTTTGCTCTGACTGTTTTCTTTTTATTAGCTTCCTTTGTCTTGTTAAGATCTTGTGGCGAAACTGACCAGATATAAAACTGTCGTCTCCCATTGGTGAGGAAACTTTAAAATCGATCCATTGTTGACATGATGACTCCGGTAAACGGTGCGTTGCTGTGTGACGCTTGAATGAATGAATGACTGAAATGGTAAAACGTAAAACTCCAAAATATTCAGTTTCAGCAAAATTATCATGAGATTTGACCCTTTTTGTGATTTCTTCCATAAATAATGTGCACAATTTATTATAAAAGCATGAACATTACCTCGCATTTATTTCAGTACCTGGAAATAAAATTGGTCTGTTTATAAAATGGAAGAAATGTGCACAAATTGGAGTCATCAATTGGCTCAGAATTGTTCTTAAACACATTTTCTTTGACACGAAAGCCCAAAAACATTCCAGATGGAAGAAGTTCATCGGGAAGTCTGAAACTTGTCAATGAGTAACATGCTGGTGAATGACTTTCGCTTCGCTGATTGAATTAAAGGGAAGTCGTGATTACATGGTTTGTTGAAAGTTTGTCACTCGTTGAATGGTTCACACACCCACTATAAACGGCCTCAGACAGTTATTTTCAGGCTGTTTGCTCCAGAGATGGAAAATCCCTGACCATGCCATCAAAGGCCTTCACTATTGAAGCCAAACTCATGCATATTTATCACTTTTTCAATCTGCTCTGAGAGCGAAGTCTGGGGGCGGCAATGTAGATCTACACCCTCCGTTTCCTCTCCTGTATTGACCCTTTCTAAGCGCTCTTTGTATTCCCTCCTCTAATCAACAAAACAGGTTGGTTGTGCTTTGCCACAATCCCTTAAGCTAAAGTCACATTTTCCTGATTGTGTGGCATATGCTTTTGAGGTTTTATCTTTTGGTAAAGTGGCTTTTTTCACTCCCATCAGGGGCCGTCGGTTGGCGCGGTCGCAACGTAAGGCTTGAAGTGTTTAACTTTACATAAAGGCAAGTTAACCTCTTCAGGAACAAGAACGCTTCCCACGGCTCTTCACTCCCTACTTCAGCTGTGTTTTTAGGTAAATTGAGCTCAAAGGCAGTTTTACAGGAAAGAATAGTCAGAAATTGAACTTTCATTCTTACCGAGTCGACAGAAGGACTCGGTAAGACAAAAAGCAGCAGTTATATGTATACAACTCTGGAAAAACTTAAAAGACCACTTAAAATGATCTCTTTCTTTGTTTTTACTTTTCATATCTACATGTTCAAAAAAAAATTACATTTTTTTTATTCTATGGACTTCTGACAATTTATCTCTTATTTGCAGAAAGTAAGAAATGGTCAAAATATTGAAAAAGATGCGTTGCTTTAAAACCTCAAATAATGCAAAGAAAAGTTCATATTCATTTAAAAACAATACAAATGTTTTAACTCAAGAAGAGTCCAGAAATCTATATTTGGTGGAATAACCAGGAGGCCTTCAAGGTGGTGGTCTCAATTTTTTCCAGAGCAAACATGCGTAGTTATGCAACTGTACATATTTGGAAAGCATAAGTGGGGCCTCCTGCGCAACCAAGACGTGGCTTCTGAAAGGTAAGTCAAAAGCAACACTCTTGTCTTTTCTAGCAGCCATTGTACAGGGCATACAGTGATAAAACCAGCTGACCTAATCTGCTGGAGCTCAGGTTGGGTTGGTAGGTAACGGGCTGGGCTCTGCTGGGGGTATCAGGCTGGGGTATCAGGCTGGTGTAGCTGTTTTTCTGCTGGTTTGAACATTTCATAGACTGGTTGAAAAAAGAGAGATGTTACTAAATTTTTGCAGCTCAGAGGGGTAACTATTGTTTTCTATTGTTTTAAATTTAGATTTTGTTTTTCATTTTTGTGTCAACAGGCAACTTTTTTTTATAGATATTCATATCAAAATGACATGCTGGCCACGTTTTAATCAACATTTACTTAAGAGTTCGAGAACTTTTTAGAAACAAAGCAAAAAAAAAAAAAACTGGCAAGAAAGTTTCATGCAGTTCAGTTTAGTTTATTTAAAGCAGAAACAATGTGTGAAAATATCAATAAACGATGCTTTGCACCATATTTAGTTTCCATCTGTAGTCCCTGAACAGAAAATCAACTTCTAGGTTATTGTTTTCCCCACCAAAAACAATGTTAAGCAATAAGTCGAGCCAGACACAGAGGCTTTCATGTAAAACAGACAGAACAGCTCCAGAACATTCCACCAAGGAAACAAATTGTTCTTGCAGGGGTGTGGTGACTTCTCAACATTATGGTGGTCCGTTTTGTTTTCGGAGACTTTATGCTCTCTTGTGAGAGTGGAAGGTCAGTTAAGCGTTACGCTGGGATGAGATGCAGCAGGGGTGTGTCCGCTCAAAAAAGAGCCAAACGGAAACCCTGCAGAGTCTGCATGCCGTTGGATCTGGTATCGCTCTGCCTACAGCCTCGTGCAAACACATGAGTCACTCCTACTGCTGCAGCGTTGGACTCCAGCGCTGAAAGTTCAGCCTGCCAGATGGAGCACCTGCTCTGACGGAGAGACAAGGGGCCGCTGTAAACAACCAAGACTTTCCACAGTCCTCAAGTTCACCCAATCCGTGTGTTTACAGAATATCTGCCAGCTCATAACCTCGGTCTGAGTTTGACTAATCTGGCCAGGTGTTGGGGTCCAATTGCACACCAAGACCTCGTTGTAGCTGTTTTATTTATTAGATTTCCTGAATGCTGCGTTTGAAAAAGGCTGTAGAGTTTTTATTTATACTGCGTGTTTGGGGATAAAAGGAATTTTCAGGAGTACGTGACGCTCATTAGTTTGGTTTATTTGCATTCCTCGGTGTTGAGGTCACTCCCCAGAGGAAAGACTGTCAAAAGTGAGAGATCATTAACGAGGTATTGCTGTAAACTGTCTTGCTTTGTTAGGTGCGGATTAACAAAGGATAGTGACAATAAAATTACACTCTTGAGCTAATTTCCTGTTTAAAAAAAGTCAAATTGATGAAAATGAAAAGGAAAATAAGAAGAGAAAAAGCAAGGCTGAATTTGACAGCTGGTGGGTTTTGTATTATGCATGCTGGCAGGTGGGCCTTGTACCTCCCTACAGACCTCACAGCAGTCTCCTGTGTGTTGCCTTTCATTATGAGCTTTGACCCATAATATCCTATTGGCTCCATGGCAAACCGCTTGTGATGCAATCCGATCGGACCAGCATGGTGGACAGTGCAGTTAGCAGAAAAGGGCAAGTTGGTGACGGGAGAATTAAGAGTTCAGCTGAGTCGAAGCTCCACAAAAGCCTCTTGTTTCGCCAAGATACCGCAGAGGTCATCCAGTTTTCAAGAACAGATTGCTGTTTCAGCTGCAGATGAGGTCAGATCAGGATTTACTGCTCACTTGTTGGTAGGCACCACCAGATCAGAAGGGCTTAAAGGGACAGTTAACTGTTTAATCAACTGTTTAATTGCTTAAATTATCAGAGAGCTGCAATTTTAAGCCATCCTTGGCAAGTTATCATAACCAGAGACGCTTTAAGTCTAAGTAAAGTCTAAGTCAGGTCTTGAGTCTTTCAGAGATGCATCAAAGTCAAGTTTTTATTTTTAAACCAAGTCAAGTTTCAGTTCTCTGTGACCTGATGTGGGGGGGGAAAGTCCTAAATAGGTCACAACATGTCAGTCAAATGACTAACATGAAAATTTTCTCATCAAATGCATGAAGCAAGATCATCAAAAACAACTCCATCTTTTTGTAAACTGTGTAGAAAACATTCTCTGGGTGGAAGGGAGAATTGACCAACAGAGGCAACAAGCTTGGCATCCCACAGACTTAAAAAGGAGCATTCTTTTCTTTTTGTTACAAGTCTGTGGTGAAAAA